AAATTTATGCGAACAAAAGTTAATGCTGCTCTACTCTGTAGACTCAAGAATTTTTTGTAATGTAATCTATGTACAAGTTTTAAAGAACAGTAATAACTCTGCTTAAATTAGTTTAAGGAAACTTTTTTCTAACTAAAATCTGTTGTATATATCTTAACTCTTATGGCGTCATTTCTATAAGAATTAACGCTTAATGATATCACATAAAAGGCAAAAAAAAAATTTTTTTTTCTATTTTACAATTCAACAATGCTTAAAAGGTTTATTTTGTTGCTTTAAAAATATATTTGAAGATAGTTTTAAATTGAAAACTCTCTTGATAGAATAAGTTTAACAATTATGAAGTTTTTAGTAAAGGCACTAAACTGGTTTGATATATGTGTATTTTAGCTGTAATAACAGTTTAACCAGCACAGACCTGTAATATTTAATTATTTGGTATCAGCATTCAAACGTCAACTGATGTATCTTATAACTCTTATGGCGTCAATTTTTATAAGAATTACTTGTTTGACGCTTATATTTGCTTTGTTAATTCAGCTAAAAACAGAGGAATATTATTCTTATTTGACCGATAAATTTTATTATTACAGCATTGTTTTGAAAAATGTAAATAAATTATCGTAAATTATACTAATTCCTCTGTTACAGTTAAATAACTTTCGTGTATCCATTGAAAAAGTTCAGTATGTTGCTTTTTTAAAAGGTGTAACGTGAAAAATTAATCAATCTGTTCTGCCACTTTATCATAACTGCTAACAAAAAAAAAACCTAATAATTATACGATTTGTTTTTTTTTGAAAAACTTGTTTACTTGTTTGACGCTTATATTTGCTTTGTTGATTCAACTAAACGTTACTAAAAGCATAGAAAAAAAAACGGCAAAAAAATTTTTTTAATTTAAAGTAGTAATAGGTTTTAATATTTGTTTAACTATGTCGCTATTAGCATCTCGTACTGCAGCTACTGATTTTTGTTTTTTTATGCAGTACTGTTTTCTGCAATCAACAATTTTAGATGTTATTCTTAAAAAAAAAAAAAATAAATAAATAACTGAAAAAACGCTGAGTTAGTGGTAGACAATCTTTTGAAGTATAAAAGCTATTGAAAATTCTATTCAACACGGTGTCTGCAAAAACATATGTAAAGACTGGCAACCAGCACTCTAGAATTTCGTATACGTCTAAAGTGTTATATGAAATAAACTGGTAGTTTATACCCGACTTTTTTTTTTCTTAGCTAAATTAGCAATTCAACAACTATAATTTGTTGAAACTCTTTCTTTTTCATTCATAATTGGTGAAATTTTTCACCTACGTTTTGATACTTCAAAAAAAAAAAAAAAAAAAA